GTGTCATGTGAAGTACCAACTCTGGGACCACTAAGGACCGACGTCGGATGTAGACATGACGATCCCGTTCGCGCGCGCCACGACAACTAAGATTTGACGGCATTCACACGCATGAGCAACCCGGCAGAGCAACCCCGATGCCAACAATTAACTCATTGGTTGAGCCGTCAAACGGCAAGTGATGCGGTGGCCGCAGCCCGGGCCTAGTTGAAAAGGCACCGCCCGGGCCCCGGTACCGTGAACGGGATTATTGTTTAATATTTTTGCCAAAAAACAGCAGGTCAGCTTAGGCCATGAGTAGTGCCTCAGACTTTATAACCACCCCGCGGGCCGACGACGTGCCCAGTGGTCAAGTGCCTTATCAGAGCAATGATTGAGCCGTCACGCGGAAGGCTCCGGATGTATTTTTCGCCACCGATCCAACCCACAGTGGCGTGGGTCCCGAACAAAATATCTGCGACGACCTAGAACACTGTGGTTCGAGTCCCACTCCTGCCATAAAACTCCCGAGCGCTCGGGATTCGAACCAAGTCTTCCCTCTTGACCTCTGGGGCATTCTAGCAGTAACAGTGGTCGTCGACCGAGACAGCCAGAAAGCCGATGCCCACGTGTTCAACCGAGGCCCCAGAAAAGAACACGCACGATCAACGAGGTGTCACATCAGGGGCTCAAGTCGATGCTCTCCGTCATGTGGCAGGAAGGGCGTTACGACATTGACCACATGTTGGAAGCGGCGGTGGGCACGTTTAACAGTACGCCGTGATGTGCTAAAGCGGTAATTCGGCCTCTCGCTCCACGCCCAACGTGTGTGTGGGCGACCTAACATAGTAATTCACATCCTTTCTTTTTTATTTTTTGTTGTTGAAAAGTCACAGACCCTCCCAACCTACAAACTTCTGTGCTGTCAGACTCTACCCCTACTCTGTTCTCCTTCCGTTACTGTATAACCTTACAACTGGCATACCTTCCCTCCCAGCCTATTCCTACTTTTACGCGTAGTGAAATGGCAAATTCTAGCAGAGTCT